TATATATATATATATATTTATTAGAATATAATTTTTATTTTTAAAAATATATTATTTTTTAAATAAAAAATTATGTATGTGTAAATAGTTTGTCTTTGATCTTTGAATCACATTGTGTGTTGGTTGGCATTCTGGAACGGCCCGTTCTAAATCCGGAACGGTCCGTTTTGAAACCAGAACGGCCCGTTCTGGTGCAGTCGTTGGTGTTAAATATTACATCTGGAACGCCCGTTTCGGATGCAAAATTTACGCACCATGAGTGCAACCAGAACGGTCCGTTCCGGTTTTAGAACGGGCCGTTCTGGTTTCAGATGCTTGAAAAAATTAAGCATTCACGTATGCATCCACGTCCGCATCCAAGTGGCGTCCACGTCACCAGGAGTTAACTCCGTTTAAATCATTTAGACGGAAGTCCCAAATTACAATAATTTAAATTATTAGGAACCAAATTGAAACCAAAAAATAAAGTGAGACTAAATTAAAACAAAAAAATATTATAAGAAACCAAATTAAGTTTTTAACCTTTATTTATTATAAGTATATATAAATTTAATTTTTAATATTTTTAAAATAAATATATGGATATATATAATAATCTCGTGTTCTAATATAAATTATTTATAATAAATCTAATATATATATATTTAAAATATTTATTTATAAAAATTAAATATAATTTATATATTTAATTATAATATTTTAAATATATATATTTATTATAATTATATATATAATAATCATTTAATTTGTGTATTTTATAAATTAAAATACTAATAATGCATTCGAAATTCGAATAAATAATAAACGAAAAGAGAATTTATTTATTTTACGGAAACGAAAAGAGTAAATAGAAAGATATAATAAATCATATGACAGAATGGGAGATAAATAGATCATTTGTTCTATATTTAATGCAATTAAAAAATGATTATACAAGTAACTTTAATTATATAAATAAAATAATTAAAAAATTGTTTTTATTTTGAGCCGAATAAGAAAAAAGAACATTAATGAAAGAAAGTTACTACAAAAAAAAAAGTCAACAATTATATGAGAATTTCTATGTATACTATTTTATATTTGTAATATAAAGATATCAATGGTTGCGATGAAAAAACAAAAGTAGTGACATTGGTTGTCACTTGTCAGTTACATCTGACTTTTTTTTTTCTTTCTTATTTACAAGAATTGAATTTCGGATTAAGAAATTTACGTTTCATACATTAATACCAATTGAATTCAATCCCATTGTTTAAATGCTAGTGTTATTATATTAAAAAAAATTCAATCAATTGAATTTATCGAATTATTTTAAATTTATTTAAGATTTAAATATATTTTTCATTTGTGTAAAATAAATGTATTTTGATTTTAGTCTGTATAATTTTTTTATTTTATTTTTTATCTCTTTAAAATTTAAAATTATTATTTTTATCTCTAAAAAAATGAGTAAATTTTAAATTTGATATTATAACTTTTGTGTCATTTTTATCTTCTTAAAATTTAAAATAATTATTTTTTATTTCTAATATTCATTTTAAGATAGATAAGTAATATTTATTTTAAAAATTTATAATTTTGATAGAAGTATTATATATTAACATGATATCAAAGACAATTGTAGATGTTTATTTGATCATTCGATGAATAAAAAAATAATTAAAAAATAATTATATAATAATAAGGACTAAAAATAACAATAATAAATTAAGAATGAAAAAAGTAAAATTTTTAAGAACTAAAATTAAAAATAATTTATTTAATAAAGATTAAAAATATATTTACATCTTTGTTTAAATAATAATATAAAAATATTTGCTAACTATGTTAATTAATTCAAATTTAATAAATTATGCTAATTATACTAGTTAAATACTCTTAATTTATATTTTTAAAGTCAAATCAAATATGTATATCAATTAATAAAGACTCAATCTTTTGAACTTATATATTAATTACTATACACATAATATTTATTGTAAGTAGAATTAACCTTTTACTTTATTGAAATTCTATATATATGTTAAATATACCTGTCTGTGTGCGTATGTATCTGTTTGCAAGTTGCAATATGGTATTTAGTATGCATGATGTATTAGACATAAAGTTATGTTTTAATAAATGATTCAACTATCATGTAAATATGTTAAAAACACTTTTTTTTTCCTATTGGCTACAAAAATAGTAATTTAGAATAATAAAACAATCTTCTGTAGTAACAAAAATCCAGTGTTCGAATTTCCTTATCAAGACCATGAAATTAGTAGTTTATTACCTTCCATGAAGTTATCCAAATTGTTTGTCGGTTTGACTTGTAAAGGGCTGAAACCAAGTAAGTAATTGTTATCCACAAATTTTCAACATACTCTTAGATAAAGAATCGAAAGAAGATTATTCAAACAAAATAAACAAAAGGAATGTTCAAGAGTCTAGAGTGATGAAAAGATGATATTTTTGATTGTCGAAAATTTGAAAGTTTGAGTAGTTGTTGATTTTACAAGTATATAATTTGCATTTAGTAGTTCTTGTAACATCTTTTCTTTAAATACTTGAATCATGATCTAGATTGTGGATCAAAAATATTTCATGCAAATATACTTTGTATATCATTCTGTCTATTTTCAAAACTTGCAATTTCAAAGAATATTTGTACGTATTTTTATGCCAATTTTTTTTTCTTTTAGTATAATACCCTTTTATTTTTCTTTAATTTAGTTTTTAGTTTCTAATTCTAGTAACTATAATACGTTGATCATAAAGATTAATTTACAAGATACAAGTGATATTTATGGGAGTCAAAGTAAGTAAAAAAGAGAAAAACAAGAAACAATGTATTTTTATGGATTATAAAAGTGGGAGCGCATGACTTTTGTTTGGTACAAGCATTGCTTTTTGGCACATAATAATAGTTACTTTTTTCACATTTATATTATTCAGCCCATTCAGCAACGGCATCCATGGTTATTATTACATCGAATAAATTCACCCTAAGTCGACGACGTATTTTGAAAACTTTGCTAACACCACATTATATATATATATATATATATATACCTCTCCTCGAAATATACACGCAACTAAGTTTTCATACTTATTTTTGGTAATTTAAGTTTTCATACTTTACCACCAATTTGACAAATAATTTAGTTCTCATTAAATATTTCACATTTTCACTTTAACAACCAATATTTTAAGATACTCGTTATTATTATTGATACAAAATGTAGCAGCGGAAAGAAACAAAGAGTGATAGTTGAGAATCCAAATTGAATTTCTTTCCATTGTGGTTACTTACACCGCAATCTCCCGTATTCAATTTCAATGGTCCAAATTAATGTAAGCAATATGAGTATCAGATTCTACATCATTGACTAATGTAATTTGATTAAACTTACTTTTTTTTTCTTTTTCTTTTTTTCTCTTAATAGTGATCTTCCTTTTTTATTTTTTCTCTGCCAACTTGCTATGATTTTGTTTTCTTTTCCACTTTAACAGTCCTGAGACTCTGAGGGACAGTACCACCAACCTATGCTGCATAAAAAGCAAAGATGAGAAAGAGAAAGAGAGAGAGAGATCCACACAAACAACATTGTCCGCAAAACAGAGAGATCTAACCAACATGGGGTGACTCAGAAAATGGAATAAAAAAGAAAAAGAGAAGAAAAGCAGTTGCAAGTTGTTTATTGCCGTTGCTGTCAACGTCTCACGTTTGAATTTTGGTTTTTTTTTTTTTTTTGGGGAGTATAATTGGTGAGTATCTTGATACCTGAATTATGAGCTTTATGTTACAGTTGTTGAGCTTTGATCTCTTGCCCATGAGTGCAACTTGCTTGATTTATCATGTGTTTTGAATCATGTGGTGTAGGCATCTCATGTTCACAAGTGATCTTCATGAAACAAAATTTAGATTTTTTTTCTGTGTATTTTCTGAGATTTACGTGATTTATGTTTTGGTTCTAATTGGTGTTTTGTGTTTGATCAGCTCTAATTCTGGTGTCAGATGTGTGTGGATTCATTCACTCTTGCAACTTGAGAGGTATTTTTTATTTTTTTATTTTTTTGGTTTTGGGGCTGTTTCTGATCATTTACTTTTGCTTTGGCAAGAGAAAAGGTGTGTCTATGATTTATCTGAAACTGAACCATTTGCATTCCTTTTGTGTTTTGTTTTGTTTTGGTTATTCGAATGACTATATGCAAGCAGCAAGAGAGACTGAACAATCCTTTAATTGTGGTTGTACTTGATTGAACTTTGGAGGATTGAGTTCCTTCAACATCAGAAGACAACACGGTGTTGGTGTTAGCTTACTTGGCTGGAGCGATGGCGACTCTGTCCCATGCTGATTCTAAAAGAAAGTATTCATGGTGGTGGGACAGTCACATCAGCCCCAAGAACTCCAAATGGCTCCAAGAGAATCTCACAGGTACTTTGGAAGCAATTCTGATTAATATGTTAACATAGTGTGTGTTTGGTAACACGTCTTGGACGTAAATCAACAGAAGTAACTCAGGTCTGCATCTACGTCTTTGTGTCTTTTTGACATGAAAATACACTGATCCAGATCAGCAATGCTGAAACAAACACGCAATAGTTGTCATTCATCATCTGACCCCTTAACGTAGTTGCACACATTTCTCTTTCAGAAGAAAGAAGTGCTTCTGTTAAACCGGGAACAAAGTCTTATTGAGCATTATCCTTCTTCATTTTTTTAAATCTAGTTTTATTATTTGTTTGCTATCGTAGGAAATTACAGACATTGATACAAGACCTTATAAATTTGGCTTTTAAAATATTTGTTGCTTAAAACCTTTAGGTTATTGGACTGGCCCCAAAAAGTTCTGGTTTGTCAATTTCTAATTGTCAATATATTTTCACCTTTTGGGAAATTCTAGCACGAAGATATATTCTGGTTTAAAGCAGTTTCTGGTTTCGCTTCTGAATTTACTTACAGTCATGATGCACTCGAGTTGATACTTTATTAAGGGGTGCAATGCAAGCAAGCATTTGATGAAACTATAGTATTGTATTTTGATATATCTTTCTGAATCTTCTTTGTTGGTGCATAACTTTATTAAAATTATATTTCTTTCTATAACTCTAGTATCAGTAAAGTCTTGTATGGACATGTTACAGGCACTTTGTATGGTAGTCTGTGCATGATAATAAGCCATATCTACTTCCTTATTACATCTTTCCTTTCACTTATAGCATCTATTTTGTTAATTACTTATAACTTGAAAGCTGAAATTTTTCTGTTAACATCCAAGTAATATCCTGAAACACGCTAACTTATCTCAATGATACCACCTCATGAACAGATATGGATTCCAAGGTGAAGCTAATGATCAAGCTTATTGAAGAAGATGCAGATTCCTTTGCCAGAAGGGCAGAAATGTATTATAAGAAACGCCCAGAGCTTATGAAATTAGTTGAAGAGTTTTACCGTGCATACCGGGCATTGGCTGAGAGATATGATCATGCAACTGGAGTGATACGACAGGCTCATCGTACCATGGCTGAAGCATTTCCTAATCAAGTTCCCCCGGCACCAGCAGATGATTTACCTGGAGTTTCTTCCATAGAGGTTGAGCCACATACACCAGAGACACTCCGCTTTTCACATGCATTTCTTGACTCAGATGAATCGCAAAAGGATGCTTCAACACCTTTCCATGCCATCAAACTAGCTGATTCTGCTTTAAGCAAAAAGGGTTTGAAACAGCTGAATGATCTTTTCATGTCAGGAGAACCTGAAAGTCATGCAAAGTCTGCAGAAGGGCGTGTTAGAAGGGGGCTCAATTTTCTTGACACAGAGGAGATTAATGGGAAAGACAATGGAAGCCAAGATACAAGGGCTCAAGTCTTATCTGAGTCTGAAAGGATGACAAAAGCCGAGATAGAAATTTTGGCCTTGAAGACAGCTCTTGCTAAGTTAGAAAGTGAGAAGGAGGCTGGCTTGCTTCAGTATCAGCAGAGTTTGGAGAGATTGTCTAATCTGGAATCAGAAATGTCTTGTGCAAGAGAGAATTCTCAAGGACTTAATGAACGAGCAAACAAAGCTGAAGCTGAAGTTCAAACCTTGAAGGAAGCTCTTATTGAATTACAGGCTGAAAGACAAGCTAGTCTTCTTCAGTACCAGCAATGCTTGGAGAAAATACGCACTCTGGAGACTAGTATTTCTTCTGCTCAAAAGGATGTAGGAGAACTTAATGAACGAGCTGCTAGAGCTGAAAATGAAGCTGAATCCTTAAAGCAAGACCTTGCTAGAGTTGAAGCTCAAAAGGAAACTGCCCTTGTTCAATATAACCAGTCCTTGGCGATGTTATCAAAACTAGAGGAGAGATTAGTACAAGCTGAAGAGAACGCAAGGAGAATTAATGAGCAATCTAATGCAGCAAAACATGAGATCGAGGGCATGAAGTTAGAAATTGCTAAACTCACTGAAGAGAAGGAAGATGCAGCTCTTCGTTATCAACAATGCTTGCAGATTATTTCCACTTTGGAGCATAAACTGTCTTGTGCCGAAGAGCAGATGCAAAAGCTAAATTGCAAGATAAATGATGGGGTTGAAAAGTTACGTAGTTCTGAACAGAAGTGCATTCTCTTGGAAACATCAAATCAGACTCTGCAATCTGAATTGCATTCTTTGGCACAGAAGTTGGGGTCTCAAAATGAAGAACTCGGTGAGAAGCAGAAGGAGTTGGGTAGACTTTGGACTTGCGTACAAGAGGAGCGATTACGATTCATTGAGGCTGAAACTGCTTTCCAAACTCTTCAGAATTTGCATTCTCAATCTCAGGAAGAGCTAAGATCTCTTGCCACCGAGCTTCATGGTAAGACTGAAATTCTGGAGAATATGGAATCCCATAAGCGAACTTTAGAGGATGAAGTACACAAGGCCAAGGCGGAAAACAAAACTCTAAACGAGGTCAAATTATCGTCATCTTTGTCTATAAAAAATTTGCAAGATGAGATATTAAATCTGAGGGAGATAATAAAGAAACTTGAGCTGGAGGTTGGACTTCAGGTCGATGAAAGAAATGCTCTTCAGCAAGAAATTTACTGTCTTAAAGATGAGCTGAATGATGTGAATAAAAGACATGAAGCCATGATGGAGGATGTCAGATCAACTGACCTAGATCCACAGTGCTTTGGCTCATCTGTGAAGAAATTGCAAGATGAGAACTCAAAGCTGAAGGAAAGCTGTGAAACCTACAAGGATGAGAAATCAACTCTAAAGGGAAAACTGGAAATCATGGAGCAGCTTTTGGAGAAGAATGCTGTTTTGGAGAGATCCATTTCAGGTTTGACTGTTGAGCTGGAGAGTGTTCGAGGAAAGGTAATGGTATTGGAAGAATCGTGTGAATCTTTGCTTGGGGAAAAATCCACTCTTGCTGCTGAGAACGCCACCTTGTTTTCTCAGTTACAAACCACAGCTGAAAAGCTGGAGAAGCTCTCAGGAAAAAACAACCTTTTAGAAAATTCACTTCTTGATGTGAATGCTGAGATTGAAGGATTGAGGATAAAGTCAAAGATTTTAGAAGACTCTTGTATGTTGCTTGACCATGAGAAGTCCAGTCTCACCTCTGAGAAAGAAACCTTAAGTTCACAATTGAACATCACTCATCAAACACTGAAAGATCTTGGGAAACAACACGGTGAATTGGAACTGAAGCATTTGGAACTGCAAGCAGAAAGGGAGTCTGCACTTCAAAAGTTGGAAGAGCTGCTTGTTTCCTTATATGCTGAGAGGGAAGAGCATTCCAGAATTGCGCAAATGAATGAATGTCACTTGGCTGAGAAGGAATTACAAATTTTTGTTCTCCAAGAAGATGCAAATTACCTGACAAAGGAATATGAAGAAGAATTGGACAGAGCTGCACATGCTCAAATGGAAATTTTCATCTTGCAGAAATGTATCCAGGATTTGGAGCAAAGGAACTTCTCCCTGTTAGTTGAGTGTCAGAGACTCTCGGAGGCTTCCAAACTTTCTAGTATATTGATATCTAAATTGGAGAATGACAATGTTCAAAAGCAAGTTGACGTGAATTTGTTGTCTGAGAAAATTAAAATACTAAGGATTGGGCTGCTTCAAGTGTTAAAGACTCTTGACGTTAACAGTGAGCCTTGGTGTGAAGATATGATTGAAGAAGACCAGGAGCTTCTGAACCATATACATGGCAAACTTCAAGAGACACAAAATTATTTTGTCACAATGTTCAATGAAAGCCAGCAAGTTGCCATTGAGAATTCAGTTCTTGTTACATTCCTTGGCCAGTTGAAGTTAAAGGCTGAAAATCTTTTGACAGAAAGAGATTCCCTTGATAAGGAGTTGAGAACCCAGTCTAAGCAGTTCTTGGCATTGCAAGAAGAGGTACAAAAGATATTGGAGAAGAATCAAGAATTAAAGTTGACAATAAGCAAAGGAGAAGAGAAAATGGAAGTAATGACAACTGAAATAGAGAGTTTATGCAAACAGCTGTTAGACTTGAAAGAAGATAACCAAAACATAAAGGAAGAAAGTTGCAAAATCTTTGAAGAGAAAAATTCCTTGATGAGAAGATTTATGGACCTGAGTGAAGAGAAAAGCAAGTTGGAAGAAGAAATCTGTGTTATGATTCACGAGACAATAGCACAATCTAATATTTCTCTGATCTACGAGAACATTGTCTTTGAAAAACTCCTGGCACTTAAAGAACTAAGCAAATATCTTGATAGACTTTGTTCAGTAAATAACGACCTTGAGGAGAAATTAAAAATAATGATGGGCAAATTAGAAGATGTTCAGATGGAAAATTCAGATCTTAAAGAGTCCTTTGTAGCGTCAAGCATTGAACTAAAATTAGTTCAATCTGTTAATGATCAATTAAACTGTCAGATTAGGAATGGAAAGGAATTGTTGTCTCAAAAGGAAAATGAGATTTTGGAAGCAGCAGCAATGTTTAGCACTTTACATGATGAGAAAACAGAATTGCAAAGATTGTTGGAAGATCTGAAGAGCAAGTATGATGAAGCCAGGGTGATACTTGAGGACCAAGCGAGTCAAATTTTAAAATTATCCTCAGACAAGGATCGTCAAAATGACGAGCTTAGATGCCTTTGTGAAGTGAATCAGAAGTTGGAGGCAGAAATGAGGCACCTGCATCAACAACTTGGAGAAACTAAACTGAGGGAAGAGAAGTTAAGTCATGAACTACGTAAGGAAACAAATGAGATAGAACAATGGGAAACTCAGGCGGCCACACTCTATACCAGACTGCAGGTTTCTGCTGTCAATGAGACTTTATTTGAAGAGAAGGTCCGTGAGCTAGCTGATGCATGTGAAGATCTTGAACGCAGAAGCAACTTTAAAGGCATGGAAAGTGAAATGCTGAAAGAAAGAGTTAACAAGTTGGAAGGTGAAAATGGAAGACTACGTGGTCAGTTGGCTGCTTATGTCCCAGCTGTCAGTGCTTTGAATGATTGTATAACATCCTTGGAGATGCAGACACTAGCACATACAAAACCTTGTGACTACAAAGTATCAAAGGTAATTAGCATAGTATCTTCAACTGGAAACCAGCTACTATTGTTGCATTTTTTTATATTGATGTAATGTAGTTTATATTAACATTGTTTAAATCTTGGTTCCCAGGTTGAAGATTTGGTGAATCACAAATGCACTGAAGGTGGTCCACAAACAGGTGAAGATCAGAATGCTACGGCAACAATTGCACTTCCAGATTTCCAAGACATGCAGAAAAGGATCAATGCAATTGAAATGGCTGTTAAACAGATGAATGAAAGTTTCAAAACTAAGGATGAAATGAGAGAGATTCAAATGTTAAAATCTGGAAGCAGTCGCCGCCAAGGAAATATTCATGCAATTAAGTATTTTACTGAAATGTATGAAGCAAAGGAGCACCGAGGTGGGCCTGCTGATGAACAGAAGATGAAAAAATCAGTGTCAGATGTCCCTGTAGCAGAAATTGAAGTTCTGCCAAAAGATATCATGCTTGATCAAACATCTGAATGTTCATACGGGATAGGCAGGAGAGGAACTCTTGAGACTGATGATCAGATGCTTGAATTGTGGGAAACTGCTAATAAGGATGGTGTTATCGGCCTGACAGTTGGCAAGGTGCAGAAGCCAGCCACTGCACCTACTGGATACTATCAAAAGAGAGCAACCAGGGAACCCAAAAACAAATATCATTCAGTAGAATCCTTGATTGAGAAGGAGTTGAGTGTGGACAAATTAGAGATCTCGAGAAGATCGACACAGCAACACCCACGTCCACATCCACATGAAGAAGGCGACAAGAGGAAGATTTTAGAAAGACTTGATTCTGATGCTCAAAAGTTGACAAACCTTGAAATTACAGTGCAAGATTTGATGAGTAAGATCGAAATTACTGAGAGCACAAAGTTAAAAGGTGTTGAGTATGATACAGTGACAGGACAGCTTGAAGCTACTCAGGAAGCCATCACAAAGTTGTTTGATGCCAACCACAAGTTGAAGAGGAATGTAGAAGAGGGTACCTCGTCCTTTGCTGGGAAGTTCACAGCAGAATCAGATGAAAGTGGAAGTGTCAGCAGAAGGAGAGTTTCAGAACATGCTCGGAGAGGGTCTGAAAAAATAGGAAGGCTGCAGTCGGAGGTGCAAAGATTACAATTCTTACTTCTGAAGTTGAATGATGAGAAGGAAGGCAAAGGAAAAACAGTTATTGATGAACGAAATTCAAAAGTCCTTTTGAGAGATTATCTCTATGGTGGGACAAGAAGAAACTACCAGAAGAAGAAGAAGAAAACACCCTTTTGTGGATGCATGCAGCCTCCTACTAAGGGAGATTAAATCAGCAGTACTTTTAGTATAGTTTACATTACTTGAGACATTTGCTTTCTTGTTTGTAAATTGTCCTTTAAAATCTAGAGATGGTTCAAGACCCTACCCTACATGTTTTTTCTATGGAGAGGATCTTTTGTTCTTGTAGAGTAGAGATCCTGCTGTATATGTTTTGTAACGTTCACTCAGAAGAAGGAAGCTGGGATGGAATTTTCGCTATTTCATTTTCAGAATAATCCCCCTCGCCTTATTTCCTTCTTGGTTAGACTTTCCGTTCTTGTCTACCTATTACTTTGATTACCATTGTGATGCCACGTAATTATCTTCCTTTTTTCTTTGTTTTGACTCCGTCTTAAGCAACTTTTGTTCAGCATAAATGAAATAAGACTGAATATAATAGGACTCATTGCTGCGATATAATGGCTCATTGATAAATTATACTACAAAGACTGAAATCTAATTTGGCTAAATGTTCAGCAATATTTCTTTCGATGATAATTAATTAATAGTAACCAAAAACAAGGGGATAACATCCCAATTCCCAAATCCCAACCCAAGAGGGGGGAAAACTCAGTTAAGTTGAACAAAATGCCGAGGCCAAAATTCAAATTCTAAATCAGATGTACAAAGGTAACATCAGAACTACCATCAACATCTAATTACACTCCTGTTGTAAATGCTTGGCCAAATTATCTCGCATCGTCCTCCCCAAAGGATCAACTTGCTTGCAACACTGTTCTTGATATCCAGAATCATGATGACCAGACAAGGCAACATCTGGTTGTAAGGTGTCTCCGCAGTCCAGGATTATATTATGGAGCAAACAACAAGTCAATATAATGCTGGGCAATTTCCTCTTATCAGGTCTCCACATAACCTTACTCAGGATTCTCCAACTTCCCTTTAACAGTGAGAATGCCTTCACAGCAAGTAGCTTTGCAGCTCCATGATTGTGATTGAAACTAGATTGTGAAACTGATACCCCATTAGCCCCGTTAGTTTCATAAGGAGTCATCAGCCATGGAAGAAGAGGATAACAGCACCCACCAACCACATATTCTCTCATAACATCTCCACCTAATGTTTTCACATTTCCATTCAAACGCTCTCCATTCTCTGATAGTCTGTAAAACGCCGAACACTTCAACATTCTGGAAAATGACATGCCCCCAGGAAAACCTGTCATTATATCAATAAATCTCATTTCATGATCAACAATCCCTTGTAACAACATGCTGTAGTTCTTCTCTTGATCACACCAATCATCCGAGGTTTGGACAGCCGGAAGGGTCATCATGATGTGAGTTGCATCAATGGCTCCACAGCAATTAGGCAACCCAAATGATGCTTCAAAACCTTGCCTGATTTCCTGCATTCTGTTGAAATCAGGCCAATTGAGATGATGCTTGGCACGTTCCTCCAGCGCTTCTATGAATCTCCAAGTCACCTGAGACACTGTTGACTGCCCAACCCCAAATGCAGCTCCAACTGAGACTTGAGACTCACCAGATGCCAACCTTCTAAGGGCAATGGCAACCTGCTTCTCAACACTAAGAAGCCTTCCCTCTATGTTGATGAGTCCTGATGGAGGCCTTGATATGAGATCCTCCCTCACAAGGGAACATATGTATTCAAAAGTAGCCTTTGACACCCTGAAGAAATACTTGAACCCTTCTGCCTCATCACCAGGTACAGAGTATCCTGCAGGTTTGCATCAAGCATATCCATAAAAATCATTTTTTTTTCCAAATCAAATCAATTACCAATCATATCCACAACACCACCCAAATTAACTAAACAATTTTAATGATATCACTGCCCTAAAGAATAGGGTGTGGGAAAAAAAATAATGTGTTGAATTGAACCCCTCATTTCTTTACCAACAAGACATAAACAGCAGAATTGCTGACAAATCATAAAGTGGTAACAGTATAGAAACACATGCATGAAAGGGTTTCATATGATGGATAAATAATCAAAGTTTGAAACTTTAAAGGGGAATGGAGTGATGAGAAAGGAAATGATACCTGGGGCAGTAGAATTCTTGTGCCAAAAAGAGTCCCACCAATCGGTCTCACTGGTTCTGGGCTCAACAGGGACCAGGCTCACCTGTTTGTGTTTTTTGAACTTCTTGGTCTTCTTTTTGGGCTTTGATTTTTTGTGGAGGGGTGCCATTGAACATAACAGCACGAATGATTCTCTATTCCCGGCGACGGAAGAACCTTAGCAGCGTCGAGATTGGAGAGAAGAGAGAGAGAGAGAGAGAAGGAGTGAAGAGCAGAGTGAGTGAAGTGAAACTGAATGTTACTCAGAAGTCGGAACACGCGATCTTTGTCTTCGGAGTTTGGTCCTTTTAGTTGTCCAATTTGAGGGAACTTTGGGCTGCCCCAACTCTTCCAAGAAGATAACCCATTTAATAATATTTAAACAAATAGCTCTGAAAATTTAAGGTAAATATATTTTTTGATTTCTTAAATTTAAAATTGTTACTTTTAATTCTTATAATTTTAAAAAATTTTATTTTAATTCTTTTATTTAAATTTTGTTAAAAAATTTATCAAACATTATTGCATAAAATATACTTATTGATATTTTTATTAGTAAAAATATTACATTAAATTTGATTGATATTATATAATTATTTTAATTAGTCACTTTCAAATATGTTATTAGTGATCTAAAAAATTAAAATAAAACTTTTAAAAATTTTAAGGATTAAAAATAATAATTTTAAATTTGAGGGATCAAAAATAAATTTATCTTAAATTTAAAGGACTAAAAACATATTTAAATCAAACAAATATCACAAACTTTAGTGCATCATTTCTATTTTTATTTTTTTTGATACCGTAAACCCCTTACTATAACATTTTACATCACCTTTGTATATAAAGTAAAAAAAAATCAATTTTAAAATTCAAAAATAGTTAAATATATTTAATTTTCACTATTTTATATGAAAATATAAAAATACACTTACTAAAATATTTTAATTATATTTATTGTAAAATAGTGATTTTATTTATTATTTTAAGAATATTTTTTGATTAAAAATAATAAATAAATTTGATTTAATTATAATTTATTTATATTTAAATTAAAATTTAAGTTTTTTTTATTTATATATAAATTCAAAGGAAATATTATTAAAGTATACATTCCCATATTAAAAAAAACACACACACATTTTATACTAAATTCTGACTGAGATCTAACCATAATATTTTTTAAGTTTAATTATATGTATAGTTAAATTTTAATTTTTTATTTCTTAAATTTACAAATTATTCATTTTAATCTTTATACAACAACTTTTGATTTTCTTTTAGTCCTTGTTATTTAAATATAATTAATATTAATAAAAGTAAATGATATGATATTGATGTATTGTTAACATGATACTTATGTGTTTTATACTTTACATTTTAACTTCTATATGTTACATTATTTTATATTTTTTTATATTTTTAAAACTTTTTATATTTTAGTCCCCACACTTAAAAATTATTTTAGTATTTGTACGAGTAATTTTTTTATTTTATATATATTTTAGTCCTTATCAATACATTTTTTATATCTTTTTTCTTTTTTCTCATCAACACCTCACTCTTTTATTTTGCAAGTTTTGTTTTTTTAAAATATTTTTAAAACAACTAATTTTTTTTTATCTTAAATTAGATAGTCTCAATGTTTTAGAATTTGAATGTGCTTTAAGGATAAATATTGATGTAGCATGTAAGCAGTGATTTGTGTTAAAATTTCTTATAGTATTGTGCGATATATCAAACTCTTGTTATATCATTTTAATTATCTTACATCAAATATTTTGATATTTATTTCAGAAAATAAATTTAAACTTAATTATATAAGAGAAAAATACTGTTCATTTAACACGTCAATTTTGTAGAATTAAATTAAACTCAAATTTATTTTTTAAAATGATATTAAAATTAAATTTGATCTGTTAAAAAATACTAGCCACCCATTTCATGTTATTAAAAAATATTATATCCGAGTAAGATGTTTTAAATAGATATAAATCAAACTCTATGAATATGTTTAATAAACTTAACTATCTAATCACCGTGATAATTTTGTTGGTATAATATTAGCTTTTGAGAGGAACACTTGTTAATTCCATTGCAGCCACTCCTCATTTCAATAGATTATTAAGCTTGATATATAAAGATACAACAGCCTATGTTGGAAACTTTCTTCCAACTCAACACCTTGAGAAATTAAAATACTCATGATGCACATGCACCTATCACTCTAAATCTTCTGCAGCATGATTCTCAAACACTCACGCCACATACTATAAGGTTAACTAAGATAAAAACTCGTAAGCTTTACGACATGTAAACAATGCTTCATTACATTACTCGGACTCAGGCATTGTTCCAACCTTCTGATTCATCTTTCATGGGGTTTGGTTTGTACGTTTGGAGCATGAAGTTGCATGCTCCAACAGCCTCTTCAACTGTCAGATAGATCCATTTATGCCCCAATTCATCAATGAACTTGGATTTGTTCAACTTCTTCATCACCTCGCTTCCGGGATTCACCAAAACAAGCTACATAGGAAGGAATCATTGAAAATAACCAATTTGAGTGTCTCCAAAAGTAAAACTAGCTCATCAAAATCAAAATGTTGTTATATAATTAGCTTAGCAATAAATGCTACTAACATATATACTCTTTCAAACACTTTCTATGATTAACTGAGATTTATTGGAAATCTTTAGTGAGCTATACTCACGATTAAATAAAACTTATATGTAATATTATAAATTTTATTCTCCAATCAGAATTGAAATTTCACTCTAGTGAATCAGTGATATGTGTATTTCATTGAATACCAACATGTATTACCAAGATAGAATACCAACATGTATTACCAAGATAAAATTCCAACTTTAATCATAAAATAGCACCAACAATACTATAGATACTATCTCTAGGTGTTATCTATCGTGATTTTATAGATTTAAATAAATTTTAACTAATGTTAGATAATGTGTTAGAAGATATGTGTTACTGGGACTCCTCTTAGTAGATAACAAGAGAAATAAATAATTACCTGTAATCCTCTTCTGTCAACAGTCTTGTTGCACTCTTCAAGCATGCTAATTCCGCTTGTATCAATGTTGGCAACAGCTGCCAATAAAATTACATTACAAGTTAGCCAATAATCTTACTAATCACATTGTCCAGTACGTACTTTATTTCTTTAATCAATAATTTTTACCGGTCATATCCATTATAACATACTGCAAACTGGTTTGCGCTGTAGCTTTAATTCTGTCTTCCTCTTCATCAATCCACCTTGTGATCCTAAGAACAAAATTTGTGGTGAATTTAAAATTTCATTGGAGGCAGTATTTTTTGCATGGAAATAGGAGCAAAATTACTTGTGTCCCACCTTTCTCTTAAATAGCTTGCATTGGGAAAGTAAATGGGTGCATCTATTTCAAGAATTAGGATTCCAGGAACATGGTTTGCATTTGGATATTGTTCTACATTTCTGTATGTTGCAGAATTTGGAATGTTGCCTAGTAGAAATGTCCTTGGCCTTGCAATAAATAATAGTACTCGAAGTAGAGATACAGCAACCTGAATATTCACAGAAAACACATTATTATTCTTAACCCTTCATAAACACTTATAGGAAAAGAAGATAAGAAGATAAAATGAACTAAATTTTTCTCATACGCTAAAATTAGGCATAAGTAAAAATTAACTTCTGAAAATGTTGATTGAAATAATTTTTACAAATTAACTCATGCAGAGTTAGTTTTATCTTATTTTCTTATTTTGTAAATGCTTGCGAAATTTATCGAAACAGGATAAAAGAAGTCTTTAGATAGTAACAACAATGAGCAAGGTGATACATACTGCTATGACTAGGCCAATTTCAACACTGCCAAAGACTACACCAACATAAGCACTGAAGCACACAAAGAAGTCAAATTTGTCGATTTTCCACAAATGAATGGCTGCTTGATAATCTATGAGCCCTAGCATTGCTGATACAATTATGGCAGATAGCACCACCAGGGGAGTGAAATGGAACAAGGGTGTTAAGAATAACAATGTCAACATCACTGCAATTGACATCACAATGTTTGATGCAGCAGTCTTGCACCCTGCATTGTAGTTCACTGCTGAACGCGAAAATGGTCCTGAAACAACATTCGTTTTTATGCCAAGTTTGTCAGCAATTGATGCACAAAATGTGTTTGACTAGTTTTTTGTTTTTCGTACTATACATAAAATGATTATAATCATGTTATAATCTATTAACTATTGCGATCTGGTTGAGGTAACACACCACACCCCCCTTATTATATATGTACAGCATACATTGTACACATTTAATATGAACAGTTATTAATGAAACAAAAGAATTACCTGTGGTGAGATAGCACGAGGTGAAGGAACCGAAAATATTCATGGTTCCAATAGCTATCATCTCTTTGTTGCCATCAATGTGATAATTCTTAAACATTGCAAAGCTTCTTCCCACTGCTATTCCTTCCTGCACATGATCATTAATTAAGTACTTAAGAGTTAAGACCTTGTAATGATGACTTATAGGCAGCATTTAACATACAAATAAACTGGAATAAAAGTGGTTGTTCTATTATGCTCTTCATTTTATTTTAAAAATACACCAAATGTAAAATGGATTCCAAATGTTATGTTCCAAAGGCTACTATAGTGTCATTAAAAAAATAAAACACCTGCATGCAAATAAATGCACCTAGATGAAGCATATCATTTTGTATAGAAAGCATTTGGAACATGCTCTTAGAAAGTAAGACTGTCGATGAGAGCAGAGGTCGACAACAAAACAAAAAAAGAAAAGTGATCAGATGTAATGTAACTCTGTATTATTTTGCTATGCTTGGTCAACAACAATGCTTTTCAATGACCAAACACAACTTCGACAAATTAGGAATTGAGGACCAAGCGGTTGATTTCCTTTTTCATTTAACAAAATTTATTAAATAAATATTAATCAAACTATCTATTTATACATGTTCAAACTATTTTTTTATTAAAATAATTGTAATTAGAGGATAAGTGCGAAATATAGGACAAATTTATCACTATTTTAATTTGAATCGGAACTTGACCTAATTAAAATCAAATATATATGAAATTAGACTAACTTAACATTTTATTATTATTATTAATACATAAGTTTTTCAAAATTTATATTTTTTAAAAGAAAGTATGACGGGTTAGAACAACCTAAAACATAATTTAAAATGATTTTAAAAATTATATATATAAGTAAGGATGTGAGATTGAGCAATGTTAAGATTCGTGAATTCAGGTATTTATTAAGTGATGGAGCATGTCACAAGTCACAAGGTTACCCTCTAGCAAAGGAAATGAGACTGAGAGTAAAAGATACTTAACCGCAAGTGCTATAATGCCAGTGATAACTCCAGTTTTCATGGCGGTGCCCATATAAGGCGACACAAACACCAAATCCATCATGGAAGGTGGATTTAGCCCCTTCTTCAAATTTCCAATCTGAAACCACATTTCAATAAAACGTTAATTAATTTCCCTAATTTTATTATTATTATTTGAATGATACAACTACTACTACTACTGTTGAATAAACGGGCCATTGATTGAAATTGTGAAAGGGGGGCCCACAGAGTGGTGGTTGTGTGGTAGGGGAGGGCAATAATTTGGGATTGGGCCATTGAGTGAAACCCAAAACCAAAAGGCCTTAAAACATGTGAGCCTCAGTGTCTGTCCTATTCTTATCAGGAGCACCGTGTTTGGCTCAGTGCGTTTGGACTCACCACTTGAACGCCATGCTTCTCTGCGTGTGTGAGATAAACTAGCAGACTTCCCAGTATTACAGACATCAGTGGTGCCATTGCTGACACCCAGAAGAACTTTGGCTGTCGTTTGCTCTGCATCACAATCCCATATTATAATAACTTACGAGTTTAATAATCACATCAACTAATCAGATATCACATTTGATTTAATATTTTACTATTATATCTTAATGATTTGGCTCTATTTTCTCTACAAAGTATTAATATTTTTTATTAATGTTTTTTTTATTTATACATGCTCAAACAATGCTTAATAAAACACACATGATACAATTTTCATAACATTTTATTTTCAGGAGGTAAAATATGATATTACTTTTAAAACAGGTATTTTAATTAAAAAAGATGCCTCTTTCTTAATAAAATTCAGACAAACATGTCCTAAAGTTGTAAGCAAATTATTATTGTACATTCTCTTTAAACAATTATATCATATGAGAATAGCTTTGTGAAGGGAATTATGTCCTACTCCATCAGGTTCATCGAATACCAGCTCTTGTCGGTGGGAATCGAATGTAAACAAGTTTGGTTAGTTTGAACTACAATAGTAATATATAGCTAACAGTAGAATAGGAAAACAAATACTATTGTTTACTATAGTGTATGTTACTTTGTCATGGCTCTATCGCAAAAAAAGGTATACATAAGTCGGTTGCCTCTGAAAAACTTGTTAACTTTGAATAAGGTATCAAAGGGAGAAGGTAGGTTAGGATAGAAAATAGAGTTGATAAAAAGTTGACTAAGTCATGGCTCTTGGTATAATATATATAGCATTTGGTTATTTTTTCTTTTTCTTTGTTAGGTTAGCTTTAAACTTACTTTGAGGATTAAAAATGAAAGAAATTAAGAAATTAAACGGAAGGATTGAATGCAACATGAAACGTGGAATGTGGGTTAGGTATGCACTTACGAAGTATCTTGTGACGAGGAGGAAGAAAATAAAGCAACAACCCAACACAGCGCTTTCCCACCTCCACTGCATATACATAAACAAATAAGAAAACACAACTATATGCTACATCAACCAATTACAATAAGGTTCAAGAGAGAAAGAGGAGATGATTTTTTTACTTTTCTAATTTCATTAACATCTTTTCAATAATGTCTTTATTTTACTATAAATTCAATTGATAGTTTTAAACTAATTTCTTTTAAACCGTAGTAACCTTCTGAGTGAGGTTTTATCTCTCATGATCAAACATATTAGAAAATGGAACTATTTTTAAAGTATTTAAAAATTTTAATTATCCATCAATCATGTCATAGAATAATACTTGTAAATATAGTTATAGAAGTGTATATATAGATTGGCAATGATAGTGGGTGGTGTGAGGTAAGACAATAATGTGTTTGTGTTGTACAATAATAGTGGATAAAAAAATAGAGAGATGAGAGGAGGAACCTGATGAGTTTGGGTGAAAACAGAGTGCATAACTGAGACGAGATCTGCGTGGTGGGTAAAATGGTCAAGGCCTAGAATTGATTTTAGTTGTTGCAGGCACACCACTGTTGCTGCTCCCCCCATGAACCCTACTATCGTTGCATGTGACAGAAAATCCACGATAAACCCTAACCTGCACATCGATTTTCGCCTTATTCAAAAATATTTCTATAAATGATCTTATTTTAAGGGGAAAATTCAACAATCAAATTAAGTCAATCATTGTCCCCATTTAAAATTCATTTTGGACATATCAACTAGAATTCGTTTACTATATAATTAAGATACAAGAAAATTAACAAAAATGCTTCATCCAATACAAATAAGGATTCATGCAAGTGAAACTGAATGCAGTATCCAATAGGCCAATCGCACTTCTCAAGCTGATTCCAGAATTTAATATTTTATTACTTGCCATACGAAAATGGGTGGGGGTTGAATCTCATAATTGCAAAATACAAATGGTTTTCACGAGACAAATTATAACCAAAAGACAAAAAAATCCAGCCCATAGCGAACTACACAACACAGTACAAAAGATTTTCCATCTATTGCATGCCTTTAAATAATATAACTTTGCTACTTAAAAATTATGTTTCACAGATAAAAGATACTGCCAAGAACGTGCCCTTCATTTTCTTTTTGTTTGCATTTTAAGGTACAATTAATTAAATCCCTTTTCAACATTTTTAATGATAATAATAAAATTCAAACTTAAAACCTTTTGTATACCAACCATAAACACTTCTTCTAATAAGAGTTTGAATTTTAATTTACTAAGTTGTGGAAGATGAATTCTTTCTCCAATACTCAACTACCTTAATTTGTAGAAATAAATATTGTTACTAAAACTAGTGATGGAAATTGTGAATGTTGATGGCGACTAAGTAGAAGTATAGTATATAATAAATAAAATTACCTGAAGAGACCGAGTGATGCCTGAAAAACTCCAGCAAAGAATGTAGCAGTGAAAGCGAGGTGGAGAAAAAGGGTTGGGTTGTCGTTGAAATTGACCACTCGACCCAACATCGAACTCATCAGAAGCGATCCAACGGCCACAGTTCCCACTGCCAAATCCCTTGAGCTTCCCATCATCGCATAAATCAACGGCGGTATAAAGCTCGAATCTGCCTCATTATTTTCACCAAATTAAACAATTATCTACATCACTAGTTTTTCAAATTTAAAGAGCTCACTTTTTCATTGACATGTTGGTCTAAATGAATTAGACTTTTCCAATTTCTTATGAAAGATCTCGGTTCAGCTTTGTAGACCAAAAATAAAAATAACAAGAAATTGAGACCTTTACTATAAACTTCATCATATTTTCCAACAAAGATTTATTATTATTTTTGAGAAAATAGAATTAAACTTAATTTAACCTTACAAAAATAATTTATAAGATGATTATTTCTTATTTATATACACTATCTCAGTTATATCACTAGTTAGATATGAAATCTCCAATAAATCTTTCTTGCACAAATACAAAATATAATTGTAAGAAAGTATAATTAATTTTAACTTGATCTTACAAAATTAGTTAATTAGATAAAGATTAATCTTTACCTACATAAATTATATCTTCAATAATTATTAAAATAATGAATACTTATACTAATAATATGAACATCATATATATCATATAGGAGTAGAAAGTATAATTAATGAATTAGTTGCTCACAAAGTCCAAGAATTGGAGGGAGGTTGGCTAGCTTGGCGTAGCTGATGCCTTGAGGAATGGCCAAACTAGCAATGGTGATGCCAGCTATGAAGTCTGATTTGAAGAAGCTAAGGGTGTATTTGGGTGCCCACTCGAAGATGGGGAAGAAGTACTGAAGACCAAGCACAAACCTCTTAGAGGTTGTTTGGTTCTTGAACTTCCTAAAGGGATCATCTGGGAAAAAAGTCTCTTTCAAAGAGTACTTTAGGGACTTAAAGAAGTGTTGAGGGGGAGGAATGGCCACTCGGTGCACGCACTCCACGTTCGGGTATGCATAATCTGCGTTACCCATCTCTAACACAAATGCTACTTTGTGTAACTTAAATGCAAAAACTATGCTTTAGCTAGGACTATATATTATATATGTTGCCACTAGAGGAAGAGAAGAAGGGTTAGAAGTGAGGAATGTGTTGGGAATGGTATGGCTTTATATAAAGGGAGCATTGGCTAGTTATGTTCGTCATGTGTGTGGTCGGAGAGGGTGGATGGAATTGTGAGGTGTGTTGGATTGGATTATTATATTATTCTTTTCACCAATATCATTTCTAACAAGGATCTTCTATTAGATGTATAATAATCTTATTCTATATTCTAGCTATAGTACAATTAAAAGGGCTAATTCTTTTAGTGAGACATGGAAATAAAATAGAATAAAGAAATGGGTACATATTTATGATTTTTCTGTTTATAGAAAAATGATAGCCATGGAGAAAAAGTGTAAGTTTTTCTTCTTTTTAAGGTTTGAGGGTGTTGAAAGGGACCCAATAAATAACCACAATAGTGCCCAACATTAGTGGCGGAGGGAAGGGTGACATGCTAAGTTGCTAACCAAGGATCTCAACTTTAACATATATATTATTTTTAGATAAATAAATAATGAGAGAAAAACATCCGGAACATAATCTTTTACCGTCCAGGTTACAAATGTTGTGTAAATTCCACGTCTTATTTAATGAACTCTTTTTTATAATTTTTTAGAAATATTACACTGAACCTGCCCTGTGCCCACCTAGTGCATTATGTTTGTGAATTTATTGTGTCCAACACATACACACGATGGAGGTAAAAGACATGAAGGTCACGCATCTTATTAGGTTTGGTTAGAGAGAGTGTATATGGCTAATGGCTTATGACTTCACTCCCTATCTCAGCTTCAGATACTCTCGACACTATGATCATTGATTCCATCTTTTCCCTTATGACGTGAGACGTGGACCCGTATTATAATATATTTCACTTATGGGCTCTGGTAGGCTAGATTTTGTTGGGTTCTTTTGGGAGTAAAGAACAAAGTATGTCTGAGTAACAAAAATATGTTACCTTATTTCGAGTTAAATTTCCGTAAACAATCCCACACAATCAATGGTCTCACGAGATTAAGGAGTGAAACTTCACATCCTCGTATAATCCCACTTTTCCATTTATCACTTGTTCCACAAATACACTGAATGTCTATTTCCTTGGAACAAGGTATTTTATAAAGAAGAAAAAAAACTGAACAATGAAATTCAACTTTAGTGTTAAAATTAATGTAGCACTATTTATTTAATACACGCTGCAATTAAAGTTAAGTAAAAAATATTATAAAGATAACTTTCAGCATAAGTATTTGTTGGTAAGGAAATTTGCGAGTTGATTACCAACAATTCCACATAGAGTTTTCTAGCTCGGTTCAAATAACTTCTTAGTAGTCGTGAAACTGAAGATAACTTTGTTACACTACATTTAGTGATTGCAGTAAAGACAGGTTGTAAACGGCTAAAAATAAATAAAGAAAACGGTAAATAAAATTGAAAACAAAGCTATGAAAATAATTAAATGACTGAGAATATAAATTTGTTTGGTTTTGGTTGAATCCCAGAGCTATCTGCTATTTAAAGAGGTTTACAATATTGTTAGTCATTTTCTCCTTTGGTAATTAACTATTCACTTCCCCACAATTTTAATTAGGGGACCAAGACTCCATACACAATGAAGCTTGGGAAAAAAAAAATGATTCCAATTGTTCCTAACTCCAGCTGTTCCAACATTTGATTTTCCGTTTCAGCTTGGTCATTCCAAATTGAGCTTAATTTTATGTCAACTTCAGTTAAAAATGTAACACTCAAGTCACGAAGGTGGGGTCTCATAATCTCGTTTAGTTAATAAGAGTTAGAGTAAGTGGAGATAACTCTTTTCTTCTCATTCCTAAAATCTTTTTCTTCCCTACCTTTCTAGTGTAGTTGATTAGCAGTTGTGAGAATTTTTCTCAAAATTGTGTTGCGAAATAAGTTTGAAATCATGCAGAGTTTCTTCTTCCCTCTTGGTAGATTATAGTTCTCTTAAAATGGTAAGAAAAACTTGCTTTGATGGTTGCATTTTGAAATTTCCTAGCTTTCAAGTTGAGTTGTTGGATTCAAGTAAATAAATTTAATGGAATAAATTTTAAGTTTTAAATCAATTAAAAATGATTCAAAATTATGTCTTAAAATTAAAAATTATTATTATTTTAGAAGGATTAATTGACCTAAATTTAAAAGATAAAAAATTGAAGTAAATTTTTTTAAAAGTAAAAAAAAATATATATATATATATAATTAAACATTGAAAATTTCTGAGAAGAGTTAGAATATGTTGATAATAAAACTAATACAATTGCATCCCATGAGCAATGTGTAGCCTATAAAATAATTGATGAAATGATATGATTTTTTAATTAGACTTATGAATGCATGCCGCAAGCATTGGCTTCCCTTGATTTCACACCGTAACAATGTCACCACCGTGTACTCTTTACTCTTTATTCCCGTAATACAAAAGGAACAAATAATTAATTTCCTAATCTTGTGTATTAAGCGTATAAGGTACAATTAGTATGTTTAAATAATTATAAAGGATAAGACAAGCAGTACGACAAAGGGGAAAGAGATAGGAAGAACTTGAGAGAGTCGAATCAAATCAATATCTCATGAAAGCAAAAGTTATTGAATATTAATTAATCATAAATATTATTATTTTAAAATAAAAACATGTGAAACTTAATTTTATTTTTAAACAAATAGAAATAGGAACGAAGTCTCTCAAAACGTGGTGACGGATCTAATTGCTAGCTGAGCTGGAATTTTGGGTGTCTAGCAGATGGGTGTTTTCATTTACCATTTCGCACGTGCCAACTAGGGTAGTGTCCCTTACCCTCTATTATACATGTACCCAATGAAAACTTTTAAACATTGTAGGATGGAATGAGTAACCTATAGCCAATGGATGCCATTAAATTCATTATTTGTTTAGATAAAAAAAATATATATATTTAGAAACGCTTTTAAGGAAAAAAATAAAAAAAAAATAGTTAAAATTAATTTATATATAAGTTAAAAATATAAATTTAGATAAACGATTAAAAGAAAAATTTTATATAATTTATGTATAAGTTAATTTTAATTTATAAAAAAAATTATTTTATTTTTCTTCTACTTACTTTTTCTCTCTTAGAAGTATTTCTATAAAATTATATA